CCTTCACGCTCGCATCGAAGGTAGACCGAAGTAACAACTAGCATTAAGAGGTGACGCTTTTCGCCAAAATGGGTGTGTATTATAATTATTTTTGTCGTTATTGTGATGTGAATCGATAGACCAAAGGTTATTCTATAATATACACACACACACATATATATGTACATAGTAATTAATTATCATAGCCAATAGATTTTAATACATATGAAGGATTCCCACCATGAGGTTTCTTGCACGAGCTTACGTAATTTGAGTGGATTAATTACTGATTTTTTGCGGGTGTGTATTATAATTATTTTTGTCGTTATTGTGATATGAATCGATATAGCAAAGGTTATTATATAATACGCACACACACATATTTATATGTACATAATAATATAATTATTATAGCCAATAGATTTTAATACATGTGAAGGATTCCCACCATGAGGTTTCTTGCACGAGCTTACGTAATTTGAGTGGATTAATTATTGATTTTTTGCAATACGTCACTGTTCATACGGCATCTTATGGCTATGAATACCTATTGTCTAAAGTGATATTGACTGAGATACTGAATTTTACTAATGCGTCACTTAGTTCCATTATTCCCTTTAATTGATCTTTCGCTCTCTTTTCCCCAGCGAGCTCAAATATGAAAGAGAGAGATGAAATACTTTATCACGACCTGACCCTCACGGACAAGGCAGTCCTTGAGGGTGAGGTCGTGTCTCACACCGAGGATAACCTGGTTTTACTCGGCGACACGTGGCCCAGTTGACTCGAGGAAGGACTCTGTTTGACTCCGAAGAGCGATGCCATTCCCCATCGCCAAGGATCCTTCGGGAAGCGGCTGCGTTGGGCCCAGTCCTGCAGCGACATCAGGTTGGTATGGGGTCTGAATAATGGGTTTTAAGAGGGATTTACAAGCGTGATATTTGTCATTTGGAGGGATGATCCCTCTGATATAAAAAGTTTCCTGCTGTCTTTTACTAAGTGTAGTCGGTCTTGTGCCAACAGCGAGTGCTGCTCTGGCTGCAGCGACGTCCGACCGCTCCCAGGATTCTCAACAACGTCTTCGGGCTACCACTCGGGGCGAGGGACCTCCGTGGTCAGCTCCGACGCCCCAACTGGCCCCCACCTTGATGTCAGCGACAGCGAAGACGACGACGACGACAGCGACTGGGGCGAGGACGAGTGGCCCCTAGAGCGCCCCCTACCCCTGCCGGAGTGGGGGTGCGAGCGCCCCGACCTCAAGTTCTCCTGCCTCCAACACTACTACGGTTTTGTAGCGAGGGCGACCCGGACCCTCCACGTCGCCCTCGACACCCACTGCTACGACAGTTTCTCCAACTTCCTCACGTGAGTAGTTCGGAATATCTATTTGGTGAATATATATTTTTAGGAATACCTAGAATCTGATCCACTTTGTGTTTCGAAAACTGTTTTGATTATTCTACATTTACATAAATAAAATCTATATATATGAATTGATTTATCGGTTGACCCTGCCCGAATCCCGATGTTATAACAGTACTTAACTTACAGCTTTAGTAAGGAATACCTAGCGTCTCAAGAGGAATATGACGACCTGATGGAGTTCTACCGTGACTACGATCCCCCACTCGTGCCGGGGCGTTACACCTGCGTCGGGCTAGCGGGTGACCTCGCCACCAGACTCTCTCCCCTCGAGGTGCTTTATCCCGGCCTGAAGGACGCCACATACCAGGTAAGAATCGTGAAATAATACACACTAGTTCTTGGTGCAAGTTCTTGTGCAAGTCGATTTAAGTCAATACTAAAATATTTTATGCCAGTAAAACAAAATATCGAAGTTGATATCTTTATCATGTAGCAAAGATATGGAAGTAAATCTATTTAAAATGCCTGTGCACTTTATTTAGAACTAGGAAAAAAATATTTCTCCCTTCACCCGCAGACAGGGCTGCTGGGAACCCCCTCACAACAACGTGTCCGGGCCTCTGACCAGAGGCCCAGATGTGGCAGGTCACAGAGGAACCACTGTACCACCACAAGGGGTTAAACTCGTTAATTATTATTACTAACAGTATCGTCTGTATTAGGTTTCTTGTGAGGAAGAAGTAGAGGACGTGGACTGGTATTGCTCCGGCAGTGTCCCGCCCAACACTACTAGTATGAAAGAACATGTTATGCTGTGTGTGAGGGTGAGCGTGTGCGGCCGTCCGGGAGTCATGCTCTTCGACCCGGGCTACCACGTCGGCCAGCCCGTGACTGTGATGGAGGACGGTCTCGCGCCGCAGTCGGGTCCTATCCGAGGCAGCACGGCCCGCGCTGAGGTTTCCAGGACCTTCCACTACAAGTACCAACCGAACAACCCCGCCTTCGTGGTGTGGGAAGTGACGGAGGAGCGGGAGGGAAAGCCGCCTCGCCACTTTAACAACCTGATCCACATCTCGAGGCCTTTCCTCTCCAGCGTTGACATAGCGGAAAGAAGGAACCTCGTCTACGGCTTCAAGACGCTGCTGGGGAGGGAGTG